AACAAACGATGCAACAACATCAACAGCTGTAACTTCAGAATCCACAACTCTAACTTCAACAACTATGTCTACATCTTCAGAAACAACTGCATCTGTAACAACATCAGGATCTACAGTACCCTCAACTACTGAAATTCCCACCACCACAGTTGTGAGTACAGAATCCACAACTCCTACTTCAACAGTGGTGCCTACAACTTCAGAAAGTACAACAGCAGAAACCACAACTACAACTTCATCAACCACACCTACCACAATAAACGATCCAACATCTTCAACAGCTGTAACTTCAGAATCCACAACTCTTACTTTATCAACTATGCCTACATCTTCAGAAATAGCTGCACTTGTAACATCAGTAACTACAGCATCGTCAACTACTGAAATTCCCACAACCACAAGTGTGAGTACAGAAACCAGACCAGTTACTTCCACAGTGGTGCCTACAACTTCAGAAAGTACAACAGTAGAAACTGCGACTACAGCTTCATCAATCACATCTACAACAACAAACAATCCAACAACATCAACAGCTGTAACTTCGGAATCCACAATTCTTACTTCAACAACAATGCCTACATCTTCAGAAACAACTGCACCTGTAACAACATCAGTATCTACAGTACCCTCAACGACAGAAATTCCCACAACCACAGTTGTGAGTACAGAAACCCCATCAATTATTTCAACAGTGGCACCTACAACTTCAGAAAGTAAAACAGCAGAAACCACAACTACAGCTTCATCAACCACACCTACAAAAACAAACGATGCAACAACATCAACAGCTGTAACTTCAGAATCCACAGCTCTTACTTCAACAACTATGTCTACATCTTCAGAAACAACTGCACCTGTAACAACATCAATAACAACAGCACCCTCAACTACTGAAATTCCCACCACCACGGTTGTGAGTACAGAGTCCACAACTCTTACTTCAACAGTGGTGCCTACAACTTCAGAAAGTACAACAGCAGAAACCACAACTACAGCTTCATCAACCACACCTACAAAAACAAACGATGCAACAACATCAACAGCTGTAACTTCAGAATCCACAACTCTTACTTCAACAACTATGTCTACATCTTCAGAAACAACTGCATCTGTAACATCAGGATCTATAGTACCCTCAACTACTGAAATTCCCACAACCAGAGTTGTGAGTACAGAAACCACAACTATTACTTCAACAACACTGCCTACAACTTCAGAAAGCACAACAGCAGAAACCAAGACTACAGCTTCATCAACCACATCTACAACAACAAATGATCCAACAACATCAATAGCTGTAACTTCAGAATCCACAAGTCTTACTTCAACAACTTTGCCTACATCTTCAGAAACATCTGCACCTGTAACAACATCAGCATCTACAACATCATCAACTACTGAAATTCCCACGACCACAGTTGTGAGTACAGAATCCACAACTATTACTTCAACAGTGGTGCCTACAACAGCAGAAACCACGACTGCAGCTTCTTCAACCACATCTACAACAACAAATAATCCAACAACATCAAGAGCTGTAACTTCTGAATCCACAACTCTTACTTCAACAGCAATGACTACATCTTCAGAAACAGCTGCACCTGTAACAACATCAACAACTACAGCTTCCTCAACTGGAGCTGTACCTTCCACAGTGACATCAGCTCCTATGTCATCTGAAGCTCCAAGTACAACAACATCTCAAACCACATTGCTTCTTACAACCACATATACTTTAGCTCTCACATCTGCTGTTGTGACTTCAGAAGCAACAACGCTTACCTCTTCAACAATGCCTACACCATCAGAAAGTACAACTACACCTGCAGCAAGCACAACTGCAGCTTCCACAACCACAGTGGGGCCTTCCACTACTGTGACTACAACTTCAGAAACTACAACTGCATCCTCAACATCAACGGCTTCCTCAGCTGCGATAGTTCCTTCTACTACTTCTTCATCTCCAACCTCATCTGAATCTCCACTTCAAACCACATCAACAGTTGTCAATCCTGCTCCAATAAGGTCTACAACTTCAGAAAGTACAACTGCACATACAACATCAACCTCAGCTACCACAATGGTACCTTCAACCATTACATCAGCTGCAACCTCATCTGAAGCTCCAAGTACAAAAACAGCTGAAACCACAGTGACATTTGCAGCCACAACTACTGAAACCTCAACTCTTACTTCACCAACAATGTCCACAACTTCAGAAAGTACTCCTGCACCTGCAACATCCACCATTACAGTTTCCTCTTTTATGACTCACCAGCCACATCTACAACAACAAACGATCCAACAACATCAACAGCTGTAACTTCGGAATCCACAATTCTTACTTCAACATCAGTACCTACATCTTCAGAAACAACTGCACCTGTAACAACATCAGTAACTACAGCATTCTCAACTATTAAAATTCCCACAACTATTACTTCAACAGTGATGCCTACATCTTCAGAAACAACTGCACCTGTAACAACATCAGTATCTACAGTACCCTCAACTACTGAAATTCCCACCACCACAGTTGTGAGTACAGAATCCACAACTCCTACTTCAACAGTGGTGCCTACAACTTCAGAAAGTAAAACAGCAGAAACCACAACTACAGCTTCATCAACCACACCTACAAAAACAAACGATGCAACAACATCAACAGCTGTAACTTCAGAATCCACAACTCTTACTTCAACAACTATGCCTACATCTTCAGAAACAACTGCACCTGTAACAACATCAGCAACTACAGCACTATCAACTAGTGAAATTCCCACAACCACAAGTGTGAGTACAGAAACCAGACCAGTTACTTCCACAGTGGTGCCTACAACTTCAGAAAGTACAACAGTAGAAACTGCGACTACAGCTTCATCAATCACATCTACAACAACAAACAATCCAACAATATCAACAGCTGTAACTTCAGAATCCACAACTCTTACTTCAACAACAATGTCTACATCTTCAGAAACAGCTGCACCTGTAACAACATCAACAACTACAGCTTCATCGACAACTGAAATTCCCACCACCACAGTTGTGAGTACAGAAACCACAACTATTACTTCAACAGTGGTGCCTACAACAGCAGAAACCACGACTGCAGCTTCTTCAACCACATCTACAACAACAAATAATCCAACAACATCAAGAGCTGTAACTTCTGAATCCACAACTCTTACTTCAACAGCAATGACTACATCTTCAGAAACAGCTGCACCTGTAACAACATCAACAACTACAGCTTCCTCAACTGGAGCTGTACCTTCCACAGTGACATCAGCTCCTATGTCATCTGAAGCTCCAAGTACAACAACATCTCAAACCACATTGCTTCTTACAACCACATATACTTTAGCTCTCACATCTGCTGTTGTGACTTCAGAAGCAACAACGCTTACCTCTTCAACAATGCCTACACCATCAGAAAGTACAACTACACCTGCAGCAAGCACAACTGCAGCTTCCACAACCACAGTGGGGCCTTCCACTACTGTGACTACAACTTCAGAAACTACAACTGCATCCTCAACATCAACGGCTTCCTCAGCTGCGATAGTTCCTTCTACTACTTCTTCATCTCCAACCTCATCTGAATCTCCACTTCAAACCACATCAACAGTTGTCAATCCTGCTCCAATAAGGTCTACAACTTCAGAAAGTACAACTGCACATACAACATCAACCTCAGCTACCACAATGGTACCTTCAACCATTACATCAGCTGCAACCTCATCTGAAGCTCCAAGTACAAAAACAGCTGAAACCACAGTGACATTTGCAGCCACAACTACTGAAACCTCAACTCTTACTTCACCAACAATGTCCACAACTTCAGAAAGTACTCCTGCACCTGCAACATCCACCATTACAGTTTCCTCTTTTATGACTGTACCTCCCACTGCTGTGTCATCTTCAGTCTCATCTGAAACTACAAGTACAACAACACAAGGTCCAGATATATCCACAATTACAGCCACAACAACATCTGCAATTTCATCAACAACAGTCAAAACCCCAACTGCACCCATTACAACCATGACTGTTCTTCCCACCACTACAATTCCAGCTGATATCTCAGCTACAACTACAAGCACAACAACAGCCACCATTCCAAGCTCAACTGCAGCTCAAACAACAACTGCATTTCAAGTAACATCAGGAGATCTTTTAAAAACAACTGTCGTCAATCACATCTACAACAACAAACAATCCAACAATATCAACAGCTGTAACTTCAGAATCCACAACTCTTACTTCAACAACAATGTCTACATCTTCAGAAACAGCTGCACCTGTAACAACATCAACAACTACAGCTTCATCGACAACTGAAATTCCCACCACCACAGTTGTGAGTACAGAAACCACAACTATTACTTCAACAGTGGTGCCTACAACAGCAGAAACCACGACTGCAGCTTCTTCAACCACATCTACAACAACAAATAATCCAACAACATCAAGAGCTGTAACTTCTGAATCCACAACTCTTACTTCAACAGCAATGACTACATCTTCAGAAACAGCTGCACCTGTAACAACATCAACAACTACAGCTTCCTCAACTGGAGCTGTACCTTCCACAGTGACATCAGCTCCTATGTCATCTGAAGCTCCAAGTACAACAACATCTCAAACCACATTGCTTCTTACAACCACATATACTTTAGCTCTCACATCTGCTGTTGTGACTTCAGAAGCAACAACGCTTACCTCTTCAACAATGCCTACACCATCAGAAAGTACAACTACACCTGCAGCAAGCACAACTGCAGCTTCCACAACCACAGTGGGGCCTTCCACTACTGTGACTACAACTTCAGAAACTACAACTGCATCCTCAACATCAACGGCTTCCTCAGCTGCGATAGTTCCTTCTACTACTTCTTCATCTCCAACCTCATCTGAATCTCCACTTCAAACCACATCAACAGTTGTCAATCCTGCTCCAATAAGGTCTACAACTTCAGAAAGTACAACTGCACATACAACATCAACCTCAGCTACCACAATGGTACCTTCAACCATTACATCAGCTGCAACCTCATCTGAAGCTCCAAGTACAAAAACAGCTGAAACCACAGTGACATTTGCAGCCACAACTACTGAAACCTCAACTCTTACTTCACCAACAATGTCCACAACTTCAGAAAGTACTCCTGCACCTGCAACATCCACCATTACAGTTTCCTCTTTTATGACTGTACCTCCCACTGCTGTGTCATCTTCAGTCTCATCTGAAACTACAAGTACAACAACACAAGGTCCAGATATATCCACAATTACAGCCACAACAACATCTGCAATTTCATCAACAACAGTCAAAACCCCAACTGCACCCATTACAACCATGACTGTTCTTCCCACCACTACAATTCCAGCTGATATCTCAGCTACAACTACAAGCACAACAACAGCCACCATTCCAAGCTCAACTGCAGCTCAAACAACAACTGCATTTCAAGTAACATCAGGAGATCTTTTAAAAACAACTGTCGCTTTTACCAGTACATCTTCTGCTCCAGCCACACTTGCACTTTCAACCAAAACAACTTCAAGCCCAAATATGGATTCAGAAACTACAACTGCATCAACAACTACCACTGGAATTATTACAGGTTTCACTAATACAGCAGAATTTCCAGTAGTTCCAATAACATCAAGTTCAAACACAAATTCGTCAACATCACCAGCATCTACAATTCCAGGTCACACATCCATAAAAACAACACCAGCTGAAACTCTTACTAGCAATACTACACCTCTGAACAATACAACAAAAGCAGATGCAACACTTCAAAGTACTTCAAGTTTGCAAACAGAAACTTCAAACATACCCAAAACGTTGTCAACAAATGTGTCCGGTGCAGCAACAGTCACAACCAAATTGATATTCTCATCCTTGTCATCCCTGCCCACTGAAACTTTGGTCCTAGATGCTATTAGTACTCTTCTTAAATCTAGAGAGTCCAAACTCAATGAATCACTGAAGATTGTCAGCTTTACCTATCAGAGTAAGTTTCTTAATTATGAATTAAAAGTAATTTAAATTATGAAATTTTCAACCATTTGGAAAATGTCAAAATTTAACTGATTAAAACTGGGTGTTTCTTTCCACACAGAAATCTCTGAAACTTCCTATGCTGTCATCTTTAATATTATTTTGAATAATATCAGCATGCCTGAGGATCCTGAGCTAAGAAACAGCAGTTATGTGCAAGTGCAAGATGTTGTCAATGATGCGGTACGAAACCAGCATTAACACATTAGCGAAGTTTGGGACCAGTGTAAATCTTCACCAGAGGTTGATGAATGTCTTGATTTTTTTTCCTGCAGCTGAACACTCTTCTGAATGAACCTGGCCAGCAAGTTTTCAAACCAAAATCCTCCAACTTCACGTAAGATGCAAACTCACTTCACAATCTTTATTTCATGTGTCCTCACATTTTACCTTGGAAGCCATGGAAAATAATAATTACAGAAAAAAAAAATCGATGTGGATTAAAGTCCCTTACAGATATCTTCTGTTTGTTGTGTAGGAGCACTTCAAACCAGATTGATGGCAGGATGGAATATATCTTCCAGGATGGAGATGCCATACAACCAATCAGCTTCCTAAATGA